GGGGGGGGTGGGGGTCTGACGGCAATGTGAAGTGCCACCCAGACAGACTCAGATCCCCAAGTTTGCCTCCCTCAAACCTGCCAGTTAACTTAGCAAGAGACGTTCAACACCAAAGTTTGGAACTACCAGACTACTTCAGAAATGTTGATGCTGATTCAATGCCCAAATCCAACTCTCCAACAGCAGCAGAAGACGTGTCACATGGATGAAAATGAACATAACGATCAAAACATGTGGGCCGCAGCAAACGCAGTGCTTGGAGGAAAGTGTACAGCACTAAATGCGTACATTAGGACAGGCTTCTAAAACTGACCCTACGTACTTCCAATGACCCAACAAAATGCGTAAATTATAGAACAATATCATGACTATCACACACAAGTAACATTTTGCTGAATATCATCCAACAAAGGCTATGGCAGTACACTGACAGGTAGCTGCCAGAGTTCAGGCTGGATTCAGAAGAGGACCTGGAACAAGGGATATCATTGCTGATGTCAGATGGATCTTGGCTGAAAGCAGAAAACACCAGAAAGACGTTTACTTGTGTCTCATTGACTGTGCACAGGCATTCAACTGTGTGGATCATAACAAATTATTCCCTGAGAGGAACAGAAATTCCTGAACGCTTCACTGAGCTCATGAGGAAGCGGTATATGGCTCAAGAGGCAGTTGCATGAACAGAATAAGGAAATACTGTATTACAGGAGTTCTCAACCTGTGCATCCCGACCCCTTTGGGGTTGAACAACCCTTTCACGGGGGTCGCCCGATTCATAACAGTAGCAAAATGACAGTGATGAAGTAGCAATGAAAATAATTTTATGGTTGTGGGTCACCACAACCTGAGGAACTGTATGAAAGGGTGGCGGCATTAGGAAGGTTGAGAACCGCTGACCTAGATGAAAACTTGAAAAAAAGAAATTCCAATGTAAGCAGAGGAAAATATGTAAAAAAAATAAGAGCAGAAAGTAGAAATGAAAATAATTTTATGGTTGTGGGTCACCACAACCTGAGGAACTGTATGAAAGGGTGGCGGCATTAGGAGGGTTGAGAACCGCTGACCTAGATGAAAACTTGAAAAAAAGAAATTCCAATGTAAGCAGAGGAAAATATGTAAAAAAAATAAGAGCAGAAATTAAAAAAAAAAAAAAGGATATTAATAAAGTCTATCAATGAAACCAAAAGCTGGTTCTTTGAAAAGATCAATAAAACCTCTCGCCTGGCTAACCATGAGGAGAGAAAAGACAAATTATACTGAAACTCCTGAAAGCCAGAACCTATCTGTGCAAGGTGTAAACCTGGAAGAGATGGAAAATGCAAGTGCTTCCCATGAAAGCAGCGTGGGGAGAAGGGTGGTCAGACTGCACCCCGCCGAGGTCCGCCCTCGCAGGGCTCCCTGTCTTCAGCGGGACAGGAAAGAAGCACCATGAACAACATCTATCCGATGACTCAGACGAAATGGACCAACTCCATGAAAGACACAACAATCTGCCAAGACTTGCAGGTGGAGAGACAGCGTGAACGGTTCTGTTCACCAGATACAGGATCGACAGAGTGACCTTCCAAGCCTGGTCCAGCTGGCTCTGCTGGTGACTGTGACTGAATGTTTAGAGAAGACTTGACTCCAGTCCTTTGCAAACCCTTTCAAAATATCTATGAGGAAGGAATGCTCCCCAAACTGCCGTTGAGCGTAGCTTTACATGATCCCAGAGCAGACAAAGACCTCATTGGCATAGAGTAGATTTTCCCACACAGCTTTCAAACAAGCCAGGTGCACCTGAACTCTGCCGAGATGGGCAGTATTGTCTAAGCTAAGAGCAAAGAGGCTGAGTTACCTGAAACACTGACTTTCGAAGGTCCCCTAATGTTTGCCTTTTATCGAAGGTCAAATCCCACACACTTTTGGTGTGCGAGGCTACTGGGTGCAGTGCCCCCTTGAAGAAGTGGTAACTTGGGCCCAGGTGGAGGTGCAACTCACAGGCGTTGTTTTTGGACTCACATTCTGCCCTGTAACACAAACACAAAAACTTAAACACAGATACTGTGCTTTCCTTTCAAACCCGCTCTCCCCTAGTGTGCTCCACAGTAATTCATCTGTTTCTCAGTAAAGAAACAGTAGTTTCAGCACTGCATGACCACCGTCCCCTGAGCAGACCCTGATGCTCGGGCTCCCAGGCCCAAGCCTCTGCTACGTCATACACAAAAGGCCAGAGCCCTCTCCTGGGACCGTGCGCCCATCCTCCTCTTCTAGTCCAGCTGGCTCCATGGACTCCCTAGACCTGCCTGGACAGCTCTGGAAGTGGCTCTCCTGGTGCCCAGGACTCCAGTTCCGGGGCTACAATCCCATTAAGAAGTCAGAGACAGCACTAGCTTTTCTGACAACTCGATTACAGAGAGCGCCAGCAGGAGCCCTGGTGGCGGGGTGGCCGACTGCTGCGCTGCTGAGTCAGCAGTGTGAAACCGGCAGCTACTCTGCAGGAGAAAGGCGAAGCTCTCAGTCCCGTAGAGTGAGACTGGTAACCCCCGGGGACATCTCAATGGCTGTGAGAGAGCGAAGAGCCCCAAAATCAAATCCACTGTGTGTGAGCTGATGCCAACTCATGCCCACAGGGTTTCCACGGCTGCCACGGAGGCACACTGCCAGGACTTAACCCTGCCAGCCTTTCCGTTAGCAGCTGAGCACAGACTCTCTGTGCCAGCAAGGATGCCTATCACGCAGTGGAGAGCTGCCAGCCCTCTCTCATCCCGGAGCTGGGAAGACTGGTCCCTGCTGAGCAAGTGTCCATCTCTCGTCTGTTGAGGCTTTGTTCGCTCTCGGTTTGTCCTTCACTCCACTCTCCCCACCGAGTCGATGCTGACACAGGGACCCTCCCTGCAGGGCACCTCCTGTGGTTTCTGAGACTAGGTCTTTCCAGTAGAAAGCCCTTCTCCCACAGAGCAGCTGGAGGTTTCGAACTGCTGACCTTATAGTTGACAGTCCAACACGTACCCACTTGGCCACCCAGGTTCCATTTGTCATTCACTATGCCCGCCAAGTCAGTGGTAAGAGAGTCAACCTTGCTCTGCCACAAGGAGAGCGTGGGGACAGCTTTCTTAAAATGGTGCGTTAGTTGGGAGTTTACCATCAGACAATCATTTCTGCACTCACCATTTTAAATTTATCAATCCTCTCAATGGCTGTCCACCCCACCCCGTTTCCCCATCTCCCTCTTACAGGGTTGGATCCTCCCCTTCACTGCGTGCACACCTGCCTGTCCTCCAGCCTACAGCTTCTGCTCCCACCCCTGGATCCTTATCAGAGTCTGGCTGCTGCTTTTCGCTCTGAACACCTTGTCTTGATTTCTAAAGTGATTTTATAACTGGTCTCATACTCTATCTGTCCTCTTGTTTTTGACTAACTCCACTCAGCATCTTGTCCTCTGAATACCCTGTCTCTCTCTCACCCAGGACCCTGGTGACTGCCAGCCACCAGGAAGCATGCTTTCAGGTCTAAGGCAGCTCCGAGAGAGGATCAGCACATGTGCAAACCATGCCTTCAGAGTCCCTTCTCCCAGTTTACCCATGATGACATTAAGGCCAACAGCCTGTAGAATCCTGGTTTCTTTTTGAAAGCTTGTCCTCCGCTGGATCAAAACAGGGCTGGGTTGAATGGTGGCCCTCTGTGACCCCTGGGGATAGTCTAGCCACACAGGAGACAATACACCCAAGCCATTTCAGGTGCCGGCCAATACTGAGGTCACTGCCACGGGTAAGGAAAACTCCCAGGAGAATGACAGCCCTGCTGCAGAATTCAGCAAGGAGGTAAAAGCACGTGGCCACCCTCCAGCCCCCCACGTTTTTTTCTTCTTTTTAATGCTCATCACAGAATGCCGAAGGCCCGGCTTCATTTTCCAGAGAAAGCCTAAGGGCTAAGTGAGGCCAGGTTACCTTTCTGCCTGCAGGGCAGCGTTTGCTGCGTCTATCTCGCTCAGCAGGTGGCAGGGAAGCCCGTACCTTGGATTAGCTCGAGCTGTGAACAAAACCTTTCATTAACTTTGCTGACAAAGCAGGTCTGGGCTGTACACTGGGAACAGGGCTACCCACAGAGCTGTGTGGACACCCACCTCCCGTGAACCTCAATTTTCCCCTTCGAAAATAAGTTCTGATGGAGTCAAGACAAAGAGTGCTTTCTTTGTCCCAGAGTTCCTCTCTCAAACTCTTACAAAAAGTTGCAGGATTGAATTCCTGATGTAAGCCCTGGTCACTGTACAAATTCTGGAAATTCTTTTCATAGGAGTAGGGGGGAAAATCGCTATTTTCTATAATCCCACTCCCAGAAATGACCACTGATAAATGCTGCCTCCAGGCAGACCCCTGAGATGCTGTTGGTTAGCTTCCAGACCGCTGCAATAAATCAGCTACCACAATAAAGACAAGTCAGAGATGTTTTCTAGTTTCCTGAGCATATATACTGTTGTCTGTTCCACGTGCACGAGCTTATCAGACAGTGTGAAATAGTGCGAGAAAGGCCAAACTGGGGCCCAGAGACAGGACGTGTGAACACGCTGTTGGAAAAATGACTTGCTTGATGCAAGGTTTCCATAAATGTTCAATTTGTTTACAGAATCGTAGTTATCTGTGAAGCACAGTAAAGCCATTGCCACATATACTTCAGATCTACTTTCCTGTATCCATGTAATCGGTGGATTACACATACACACACATTTCAAAAATAACTGGGATCACAGTCAACAATTTGTCACCTGCTTTTCCATTTCATACTGTGTGCATTTTTCTGTAACCATAAAAGTTGTTATGCAAAGTCAAGTTGTGAAGCACTAACACTGCCCCATGGACTCCTAGGCTGTCACCTTCCTGGGAGCAGGTCACTAGGTCATGGGGTCCTTTTGGAAGGATGACCTTTACATAAATGAGCACATGCTGCTGCTGTTAGGTGCCATGAGATCAGTTCCGACTCCGAGCAAGTGCACGTACAAAGGAAGGAAACACCATCTGGTTCCCCGCCCTCCTCACAATTCTTCTTGTTTGAGCCTATAGTTGTGGTCCCTCTGTCAAGCCATTGTGCCGAAGGTCTCCCTCTTTTTTGGCTGTCCAGCCACTTTACCAAGCATGATGTCTTTCTGCAGGGACAGCTCTCTCCTGAAAACATGTCCAAACTATATGAGACAACTGTGTCACCCTTGTCTCTAAGGAGCACCTGTGTTTCATCTAAATCAGATGGTTTGTTCTTTTGGCAGCCCACGGGCACTGTCAATGTTCTTCTCCAGCACCATGACTCAAATGCAGCTAGTCTTTGCTCTTCCTTATTCATTGTCCCACTTTCACATGCATATGAGGCAATGGGGCAGGAGCACCGTCGTCCTAAAAGCAATCCCCGTTTGTCCACAGTTTAAAGACGTGTTGTGCAGCAGATTTACCCAATGCAATGAGTCATCTGGTCTCTTCACTCTTGTGTCCTTGAGCACCAACTGTGGATCCAAACAAAATCCTCGCCCACGTCAATCTTTTCTCCGCCTCTCATGATGTCACCTGCTGGTGCAGTGGTGAGGATTTTGGTTTTCCTTTTCCCGAGTTGTGATCCATCCAAAGGCTGCAATCCGTATCTTCATTAGCAAGTGCTGCACATTCTCCTCACTTGTCGCAAGCAAGGTTGTGTCACCTGCTTATCAAAGGTTGTAAATAAACCTTTCCCCAATCCTGATACTGCATTCTTCTTCATATAATGTAGCTTCTCTGATGACTTGCTCAACATACAGATTGAAAACTGTATGGGGAGAGGATGGAACGCTGACACATGCCTTTCCTGAATTTAAACCTGCAGTATTCCCTTGTTCTGTTCACACAACTGCCTCTTGACCAACGTACAGTCTCTACAAGAGCAGAAAGAACTGCTCTGGAATCCCCTTCTTCTAAGGCTGCCCCGTTTGCTATACTCCACACGGTCCAATGCTCTGCATAATCAGTGAGACACAATGAAGTCTTTCTGGTTTTCCCTGCTTTCAGCCCAGATCAACCTGACATCAGCAATGTTATCCCCTGTTCTACATCCTCTTCTGAATCAGGACTAATTCCTGGTGCAGGAGCAGTGACTGATTTAATGTGGCTCTTCTGGCCACGTCTTTAACTCTCACCAAACGACCTTTTCCTGCGTGGGTTTGATGAGGTGGGGAAACTACTGATAGGATTCACCTGTGAGTGACTGTGTAC